ACAGGTTCTGGAGAACTGGTAGTGGGAATTTTGAGTAGTTTGGAGAACCAGCAAATAGGCTGGCCCTGCCCCTACTGCCTCCCATCCTCCCAGCAGATCTTCTTTTGTTGCCCTGAATAAGAGAACTTTTAAAAAGTGAACAAAAAAAAGTTTCCAACAATTGTGTGGCTCACAGCTGAGCCGCTATCCTTTTTTTTTTTACTACCGGTTCTGCCAAATCCCTGCATTACACCCAAAGAACAGCATTATTTCTTCTAAATCAAGTTTATAATATCGAAGATACATTTTTCAGATCAGCCAGTATAACTTTTTTCTTCGTGTGACTGTTTTAAACCACGTAGCCTACGAATTTCATCTGGATCTTTCAAGTGTCTTCGGTCTCTTTTTGGAGAGAATGACTTTGCCTGGAGTGATGGGGAAACCTTCTCCAGCCTTTCATGGATATTTTAAAGCTTGAAGGGAATAGTGTGAGACCCAAGTTAGGTGTGAGATTGGGTGCCTGGGATTTATCTGGCCAAGAGAGCTGGAAATTTCTCAGGATGCTGGTGAGGAAGAGGAAGAGCTCCACCTGAGCCAGATTTTCTCCTAAGCAAACCCTTGGGCCTGAAAAGCCAAAGACAAGATCAAAGATGATTGCTATTTATGTAGAGAGCCAAACGCTTTTATGATAAAACAGCATTCCTGAAACGGAGAGTTTGTGACTGTGGAATGTCGTCTGAAACTGACTAGTTCCCTTAGATTTAATGGGCCTCTGTGTGTGTGTGTGCGTGTGTGTGTGTGTGCTTGTATCTGTGTTGTGTGTGAGGGGGCGGGGGAGAATAGGAAAGCAAAACATGCATTTCCTGGCTCATGAATTGGCATATTTTTGGGTTTATCTTGTTTTTTTTAAAATTCAAGTTTTGTTTTTATAACATAAAAATTCCATTTTTAATTCAACAGTGTTGTTGTCTGGGTGCAAATACTTTTAGGAAATAGTAATCAAAATATTTACAACAGTGTTCATTAAATTAGTATTGATTATAATAGTATTAATAATGATGATGATGCTTACTTAACCATTTTAACATACCTCCTTATTAATCCTTTCCTTCTCTTTCCCTGTTTCTAACTCCTGGTTTTTTCCCAGCTAATCGTTTGATAAAATGAGTCCCAGGTCAAAAGATAATCAGTTTCTTCCTTTTCCTTAATTGTAAATGTTAGACCTGTGGTGGTTAACCTACGGCACAAGGGCCGTGTGTGTGTGTGTCACACAGAGCCCACTCTTGAGGTCCAAAAAACTACCTGAAAATACCTCCAAAAACAGCCCAAACTGTTGAAGTGCTTAGTTTTTGTTTGGCAGAAGGTTGATAGAAGTTTGGGGTTAAGTGGGAAGTTTCATCATGTCTAAAATCCTAGAAAATGGAACGAGTCACTGAGTTTTGATTTCCCGGAATACTGTTTGCCACCATTTACTGGGTCTATGTTCGTGATGGTGAACCTTTGGCATGTTTTTGAGAAGTGTGTCAATGTTTGTTGCATAAATTCAAATCCAGAAAGCACACACAGGTAACTGATGCAGCAGGATTCATTAACTTCTTTATATATAAAAGAATAGATGAATAAATGTTCAATACCAACAGGTGGTTCTTCCAAATAAACACAAGGCAGGAGAGTTTCATATCAGCAGACAAGCCCAGACAGACTTCCAGTTTACTTCTCAGAGCAGCAGACTGCTTAAGTTTCTCTTTCAATTCTTTGCACAGACTCATATCCCGTTGACTAACTTAGTTGCTTTGCCTACTCATTGGCTGACCTTGTTCCCATGTCTCTCCAAGTCATAAATAATTTAACAAAGTGGCATGCAGAGCCATCTCTCTGGGCACACCAGCTGTCACCCATTGCTCTTGTGGGTTCCGGTGCACACATGCACACTGGCCAACTGGTCTTTGCATGTGTGGGAGTGTTGGAAATGGGAAGAGCAGGTGGCTGTTAAGCATGTGCTCCAGGTAGCTGTTCTTCCAGTTTCTGGCACTGCCCTGTGCATGTTCATGCTTCATATTGGCCCTGGGGTGTCTTGGTAGCCTCCTGCAGTCTGATGATTCCCCAGAAGTATTAAGCTGCAAATATGGCCATCTCCATTGTCATAGTGGGAGGTTAACATTGCTGTATTATATTAATCAGCATTCAATCATGGAGGATGTTTTGTGCATAAGTGTTAATCTTTTTAAAGTCACATTTTATGTCTTGTTGTGTTTTACTCCCCTCCTCCCAAAATTTTGGGTTTTTGTATTTTTCTTCAATAAAATATCTATATCTATCTATCCATCTATACATCTCTCTCTCTCTCTCTCCATCTCTCTCTCTCTCTCTCTCCCCATATCTCTACCTGTCCATCTTCTTTCTTTCTATCTATCTATCTATCTATCTATCTATCTATCTATCTATCTATCTATCTATCTATCTATCTATCTATCTATCTATCTATCTANTCACTCTTTGCTAGGTTTACAGAACAAGCTAAGCAAAGACCGATAGCAGCACCCAAATAATTTTCCCTGATTTCCTTCTCCCTGGACAAAATGCACAAGGGGCACAAATTCTGAAAGACTGTAATTTTTTAACAACCCCTCCCCCCCCCCAAAAAGACCTTTGTGGTATTTTAAACACCGGACTAAATTACAGCCATGTGCTAAAGAACTGTTGTACTCGCACAACTTGTTATGTTAGAGAAAGAGATGTGAGATGAAAAAATATAATATACAAATGAAAAACAAGACTAAGAAATCTACCTTCTGGATTTCTTCCAAATATGCGTCAATGAAATCCCGGGGTTCTCCAAGAGTCAAAGTTGCCTTGTGCTCCTCCATTTCTTTTTCAAACAAAGCAAACATTTTATGGGCATTTGTTAATATTTTCTGATGGGGCAGGGGAAGATTTCTCACTAAGGGCACAGCATTGGAAAGCTGCCAACAAACAGAAGAAAAGAAAAAAAAAATGGTTATTTGGTTAGAATGCAGTATTTCAGACTATCTCTGCCCACAGACAGAAGTGACC